TCAGTTTAGTTGTAGACTAGTATAAATAATTTCAACAATTTTTAAAATTAAATTTAAATTTAAAATCATAAGAATATAAAATGAGTGAGGTCTATAGGGTATATTTCTTAATTAATTATATTTTAATTTTAATAAAATTTAAATTGATAATTAGATTACTTTAATCTTAGTTTTTTTAAGATGTGTTCAAATCAGTTCTAATTAATTTAAATCGATTAAAAATCAATTAATTTGGTTCAGTTAATCGGTTAATCAATTGAACTCAATCGAATTAATATCTTCTAAATTAAAATTGATTAATCAAATAAAAAATTTAAATTGAAATTAAAATCAATTAACTAGGTTACTTCAATATTAGTTTTAGGCAAGGGTGTTGGAATCCTTTCAAATCATTTTTTTAGTTTGAATCAAAACTGATTTAAATCGATTCAAAATTAATTAATCTAATTCAATTAATTAGTTAATCAGTTGATTTCAATCGAATTAATATATTCTAAATTAATCTAAAACTAATTAGTTTAACTTTAAAATCAAACTATTGGTGATTCAATTCAGTTTCGATTCAATTTAATTTTCTAATTCGATTTGAACACCCATAGTTTTAGATTAGTGATAGACCACATAAATAATTTTAATAAATTCATATTTTAAATTAATTTTAAATTTAACAATTAAAATAATAAGAAAACAAAATGAGTAGGGTTCGTAGCTTAGTGGTAGAGCATTCAGCTGTAGAAATCAACACCAACAATACCTAAAATTAAAATTGAAGTAACCTAATTATAACCTTTTAATTACTTTTTTCTTATGATTTTAAATTTAAATTTAAATTTAATATAAATTTAAAATTTATTAAAATTATTTATGCTGGTCTATCAGACCCAATTTGAATCAATTCGGATCGAATTTGAATTTTCTTGTCTTTGTTTTATTTTAGCATCTTTGCTTTAAGAGAATAACATTTTATAAAATATTTTTATATGGTAATTTCATACATTTGAACGTGTGTTTTTATGGTAATCTCTTTTATTATGTTGATGATGCTAACATGCATATCATTGTCTTGCATTTACAAAAGCTTGGGCCCATTTATTAACTGCGTTCATCATACCGATATATGTCACCTCATAAAATTATTGTTCCATTTGTTAGATAAATCCAACGAAAATATTAAAATATTCATAGATAATTGCCTGTTTGATTTTTCTTATTCTAGTTTACTAATATATATATATATATATATATATATATATATATATATATAATTTTGGTAGATTTTTATGAAACTTATGAGAAGAGTCTTATCATATATGTTGGTGTAAACAACTTTAAGCCGTGGCCTCGGGGCCGACGCGGCCTGGTTCAGGTCCGGATGATGAGGAATCTCTCTGGGACATTCCTCGAGACTGTTGAGGTGGCCGGTCACGGGGGTTCGACCGGGACGGGGTCGTCGTTTCCTCGGGGAAGGGGACTCCTCGCTTGGGCATTCAGTGGGGACCTTCAGCTTCGACCCCTCCGACGATCAAGTTAGTGGTGAAGGGGGTTTCTTTAGCTAAGTTGTCTCTTTTTCTCCCCCCCCCTCTCGCGCGTTCCGTTTAGCATGCAAGGGTACTTATAGGGAAGCTTACTGTGCTCGCTTGCAAGGGGCAAGCTCGTACTCCTGATAGCGTCTGACACTGGCGTTGGCGTGGTGTGAAGGACCGAGCATGAACAGGTCGTTAATGCGCCTCGACCGGCGTTTCGATTCGTTTGACCAGGTGTTGTCGGGTCGATCGAGGCGTGAGGCGTCATATGGGGCAGTTGACGTCAGTCTGAGTCTTGTCGGCATTAGTATCCTCATCAATATATATTTTATTTATAAAATATTAATATAATGATAATATATCGTGTGTTTAGTTATCAAATATTTTTTTCTCATTATTAATATAACTTTATATCTGTGCTTTGGCAATACCGTCTTCGTCCTGATTCATTTGTACTTCACTGTCACAGATGTTGAACACTCGTTTCCACCTCCCAAATTGGGCACCAAACTTGTCACGATTAGAGATTGAATACGCGTCACCACCAATCAAACCCCCTTCATCTCCAAATTGCTTGGCCACTGGAGGAGGACATAATAAACAATTTGACCTGCACAGTAGTCTATGAACCCTAAATTCCTGCGACCATTGGACCATCGAAAAGTGCATCATAAATGCATTGCAAAGACCTACAACTCAGGAGCAGCACTTCCCCTCTTTCGATCACCACTTCATCCTTCCCTGGCTTGCCCTGCTCCCCCAAACAGGTCTCTCGCTCTCTGTTTCTCTCCATTGGTCTCAGCACCATGTCCATCGTTCCCATTCTCACCTCTTTCCAGAATTCTAGAGATCCATGATATGTTGATGTCTTGCTTTCTCCACTCTGTGTCTTAAAGATCCCATTTTTATCATGCAGAACTGATCCAGATCCCTCACTTTTCTCTCCCCACTAAATCTAACCATCAAAACTGGAAATTTCTCCCCTTCTCCTCGATAAGTTTGGATTTTGATTTGGTTTTTATGTAAAAGATCAGATTTTGACCTGTGTTTTGCCTTGTTTCTTTTTTGGGTTCTGATCAGAGTGGATGGATCAACCGGGCCAGACCGCGCCGCCGATGATCGGCGTCGCCACCGGGGTTCCCTACGCCGCCGCTGCCGCAGCGTCCGCCGGCGGCCCCTACCAGGCCTACCAGCATCTCTACCAGCAGCAGCAGCAACAGCAGCAGCAGCAGCTCCAGATGTTCTGGGCCGACCAGTACCGCGAGATCGAGCAGACCACCGACTTCAAGAACCACAGCCTGCCGCTCGCGCGGATCAAGAAGATCATGAAGGCCGACGAGGACGTGCGCATGATCGCCGCCGAGGCCCCCGTGGTCTTCGCCAGGGCCTGCGAGATGTTCATCCTCGAGCTCACGCACCGGTCCTGGGCCCACGCCGAGGAGAACAAGCGCCGCACCCTGCAGAAGAATGACATAGCCGCCGCCGTCTCCCGCACCGACGTCTTCGACTTCCTCATCGATATCGTGCCGAGGGAGGAGGGTAAGGAAGACGTGGCACGCCCGCTCGGGGCCCCGCCGACCGACCCCATGTCCTACTACTATGTCCAGCAGTAGCAGCATCCACACCGTGAGCTCCCTGCCAGGCTCTCCTTCTCGTGTTCTTTGCCTCTATAATCTATCAGCTCTGGTTACTCTTATGGAGAGAGTGGCTGGTTCTGAGAAGGACTTGCTTGCCATGTTCTTTGTATGGTTTGCAACACTATATTCCATATCAAGCACTGTTATTAAGCTTAATTGTGGTGTTAAAGTGCTTAATTCCGATTGATTACATGTTCGATTTAGCGAGAAGGGGATCATGAGAGTTTCCATGCTTATGTTTGCGGAATTTACAGGGGGATTTTGAAGCCTCAGTGATTACTTAGCGAGCAATTCGCTTATCCGAGTTGTTGGAATTCGGCTTTTGCTTGATGTATATTTTTGTTTGTGTAGTGATTGTAATTAGTATTAGAACCAATAATCGATCAAATTGAATCTGAATATTCTGTAGTTTGTTTTGGTTGGAAAGTTTAGCTGTGGTTGTGAATTTGGTAGGACATATTGATGTCATAGTTAAATGATCCTTTAGTGACAAAAGAATGTAGCTTATGGAGACTAAGACGAAGAAAAGTTTCCAGTGCCAGTTGGTGAGGAAACAGGGACAAAACCTATAGCTAGTCAATCAAATCTGTATGTTTCTTCTCCTAGTTTTAGAACTTGTTTCTTTCCATCTGTTTCAGTTGGATGCTGATTTCTGCTGCCAAGAAATATTTTTCTGCAATTATGACTTGCCTTCAATGTTTGTCTCTACAATCCATTTGACTATCTTGGAATAGGAAGGAATACAAAGCAACCATTCCTGTGGAGCAGAATGATGATGGTTGAATGTTTCATATGAAGTTTCAGACTGATAAGCTTTTCTTTCCTTGTTAAGACATGGTAGTGATATTATCCTCCATAGATCCCAGTGGCAAGGAAAAGTTGCATGTTACTTGGGATCTCATGGCTTGTTGTGAAGGTAGGATTTTGGTTAGGGAGATGGTTCTATTGACAGTAACTTGATGTGGGGAAACCAGTAATCGAAGAGATGTAATTAGATGGTTAACATGATCTTTTTTTCATGTTACTTTGATCATGATTCAGGCTTCATTGGTTTTTCTGATAACATATCTTCAGCATCAAAGAAGTGTTCTGCATCTAGCAAACTAATGATGGAAAGTAGAGGTTGTCTGTTGTTTAGATAAGCAACAAATGATAGAAAACCTGCATTAATACAGGATTAAGGCAAGAAATTGGTTGATCAATTCAATCAAGAAGATAAACAACCTAACAGTCTGAATAGAAACCACAAAAGTCATCATCATGCATTGATGGAATTGATGAGTAGATCACACCAATAATTAGTGGTTAACAATGGAACTGCCCAACTCATCATGATGGATAGTTTTCATTGTGAAAATGACAGCCATTCTCAGTCAATCATTAGTTTCATGCTAATTTCTTTATGAGCACTTACCACCAAGTGAACCTGGTAGCAGGCTTAAAGATATGTTTCTAGCTTAATTTAGTATGAACAATTAGGTTTAGTCAAAGGATAGATTTTTACAATTATTCATCCAATGAAATTCATGAATATTTCACAAAAAAAAATTTTGTGATTAATAAATCAAGTCGCCAAAACATTTTTTATTGTCGTTAAAAGACGATATACATTGATCCTCCTCAGATCCTGAATTTTAAGAAAAAAAAATCTCAAGTATTTATAACAAGTTCCAATGGAATCAACAAACAAAAATAATTCATCAAATATATATATATATATATATATATATATATATATATATATTTAATAAGATCAATGATGATCACAGAGGCCAAAACCTTCATATGCCTCACTTCAAGAAAGACAATAGATACACCTCCAGTGGATTGTTCCTCTTCAATTAACACATAGGAAACATGTAGAAGATAAGCCAAAAAAGTGTCTGACGAAGAATGCAAATGAAGTTGATGAGACTTCAATTTCTCTTCCTTTTCCTTTTATCCTTCTTCGGCTGAGCATAGTAGTCAACAGAGGAATAGGGAGAGCACTTCCTTCACATCTCTCGCCTCCCAATTTTTGGTCTTTACCAGCTCTTCTGAGGACACATCTCAATCAGTAGAAAGCTCCAAGCTTTCCTCTATTGGTCCAAAGCGTTAATGGGGACAAATCCCAATTCACATTGAGACACCGGAGACGATGGTGTAATAACCAGCACCAAAGAGCCAATAAGCACCCGCCGCCTCCTCCTCCTCCTCCCTCTCTGCTTCCTACTGGGTTTGATCTTTCCGGGTTTCGACTTTCCGCTGGAAAGGAGGATGTTTTCTGGCTTGATCCACGGATCGGAAGCTTCGATTCCACCGGAGGAGGCCCGCGGCCCGAGCCTAGTCCTGACGGCGGACCCTAAGCCGCGCCTCCGATGGACGGCCGACCTCCACGAGCGCTTCGTCGACGCCGTCGCCCAGCTCGGAGGTCCCGAAAGTTCGTACCTTTTTGCCCTTCGTTGCAAGCATTGAAGCGATTTCTGCGTCCTTAGTGATCGTTTCACGAACCCTTCTGCTTCCGCTGCTTGTTGCTTTTCCCCCCTCTTAAATCGCGTACCAAGTGTTTGTCTTTTTGTCTTTGTTGTTACTAGAATTCTGTTGGTACTCTCTCGTGAACAATAATTAACTCCTGGTTTATTTGGTGATCCAATCAGGAGATATTTGGTGGTGTTGCCTCTTTGTCCCTCTAAAGACTGATCCTTCCAAATTACTCTCATATTTTGCCTCTACAATTGTCGTGTCCGTTGGAAGTTTCTCCCTTAAATGCTTAGTATCTTCCAAATGCTAACTTGTCGATCGTTGGGAACTCTTCAAGCTTTAAGTCGGTTTTGATTTTTTCGTGGGCATTCAATACCGGCTATAACTCATCTTTCAACAGTTTCTCTTTGCCACTTTCTTGTTGGCTTTACTACGGTTTACTTAACATGCTGAAAACTCTAATTGGATCTTTCATGATGTTTCTGGTTAGCTTGTTCCGATCATATGCATGCAGCCATTTTCTATCTGGAGTCCACTGTTTTTTCCCTCTACTCATTGGTGATCACTGCAGCAATAGATGACTTTTATGGATCATAAAGTGATTCCGGAACTACCAACTTTTATGGATCAAAATATTAGACAACTTAAATATAACATGCCAAAATAGTTTGAACTACTTGAGGAGAACTTCAATTTTGCTGTCTGATTGATTACCTTATTCACTTTTTGACATGTAGGTGTGCTTGTTATTATTGCAATGCTGTTTCTCTTATAGTAAGCTATGCATGTGCTTTTTTGCTTCAGCATTATCAGGTTTGATGAATGCTGATACATATCTTTAGATAAATTGGTATCTTTGGGCTGGTTTTAGACCACTTTCGGTTGTTGAAGATGTGCCTTAGATCTATGGCTTTTTTCCTTATATTAACTCTTCTATATGCTTCCGTGTAAATGGTCTTAATCACTTTGTATTATAGGTGTCGAGTATATATTATTTCTTTTTCTATTTTAGTATAAAATTGGCATTTTATGAAAATGGATAATTATTTTTTTCTTTTGTAGCATTTAATACTGATGCTATGACTAGGGAACAAAGGTAGAAGTAGAGCCCTAAATATCTCCCCAAGTTAGTCTCATATTTTAGGATTTTATTTTTTACGTAAATTGTTGGTTCTAAATACCATATGTATGTCACACGGTGCGTCGGTGCCTAATGCAGAGGCAACTCCAAAGGCTATCATGCGAACAATGGGTGTTAAAGGACTTACTCTTTTTCACTTGAAAAGTCACCTCCAGGTTAAACTTCATGTTATAGTACTCCCTTAAACTCTTTGTTGCTAAAATCTGAATGACATTTACACTGGAATAATTGCTTTTCCCTGTTAATGTTTCCAGAAATACCGACAAGGAAAGCAATCAGGCAAAGAATTAACTGAGCAGTCAAAGGATGGTGAGTTTATAGATTCAACTTCCTTTTTCTATTATCCGTGCTTAATCCATTGTATCAACTTGTTATTTGAGCCTCCAAAAGTTTGTGAAAACTTGATAAAACTAATGTTATATTTAGACATTCCACATTCTATCTTCATAAGACAGAGGCTGTCTTCTAAAGAAAATTTTAGCTGGAGTCTGTCTAAGTTCATGCTTCATTATCTGGTCTTATTTTATCGGGCATCTTGGGTCATGGAGCTCTTCCTAGTTCTCTCTTAAACTCTCAATGTTGTCGATGAACCTTGTCATGAAAACTTCTTTTCTATAAGGTACTACATGAGACAATTGATAGTGAATACAAAGTGAAACTTATACTAAACTCTGGAGTGAGTTTTTTTCTTATTACAAAGAGGAATACATAAATTCTTGAGCAAGATCGTATTTTGTCTTCCTTTTGGCATTGCCCATCCTACAAGTAGATTTTGGCATGATTAATTTTTTACAAGATGAAGTTGTCATGATTTGACTTGATGAAATAACTAATCTGTAAATTTCATTGAGTGTGAACTACTAACCTAAATATTTGAGCCTAAATTAATGGTAGCAGACTCTAGTATGATGCATGTGAGGCTTGAGTGATGGCTTCATGCGGTGGCGCATCTTCTAGCCCCATCTACACTTAGTCTTTTCCTACTCAAGCCCGTCACTATGCCCAATATTAGGCCGTGCTTTTTGATGCCATCTCTTCTCTGTCATGACCTAACTTGATGAATAATTGATCCATTAACTTTGTCGAGCCTGAACTGCTTAAAATATTTGGGTCCAAACTTAATACCCCAAATTTAATTTGAGAACCTAGTTGTAAATATAGAATTTGCAGGGACTAAATTGCTTAAGTACATAAAAAATAATAAGTGTTTTCTTCTCACTGCCTCTCTTAACTGCCACTCCCTCATGAGGAAACAGAGGCTGCGTGGGAGCGGGTGGGAGAGAAAGAGGGAAACAGAGAGGGAATTGGAGGAGAAGAAGAAGAGAGGAAGAACAGAGGAGGGAGAAGAGGAAGGAAAGAGAAGGAGAAGGGAAAGAAAAGGGAGAAAGGAGAGAAAGAGGAAATAGGTCTCGGCTGCGAGAAGAAGCAAAAGGAGAAGAGGAGAGGGAAGAAGAAGAAGAGGGGAAAGAGAAGAAGAAGTGAAGAAGATTTTTTAAGAGGAGATACGCTTCTGCGGTGGGAGAAGAAAAGTGAGAGAGGATCTAAGGGAAGGAGAGAAAGAAAGAAAAAGGAATAAAAAATAGAAAAGAAAAAAATAAATGAGAGGAGATAGGCTTCTGTTGAAGGAGAGAAAAAAAAAAGAAAGAAAGAGAATAAGAAAAAGAAAAATAAAAGAAATATCAAGGAAAATATATTGAGGACTCGTTTTGATGTCGAATGGATTCAGATCAAGCTTGGGAAAATAATATTAGCTATGGTTTTGAACTCTCTTGTATTCTCATTAATTAGATTTATGTTTTGGATTATAGATTGATGAACCATGATGTTCTTAGTTAATTGGATATTCATATTATAAAGTAAATAAAAAGGAAGAAAATGGTGATATTGGAAGAATAAGGAAATGAAAGATCATAATATGTTGTATCAAGGATATATGACCAGGGTAAGTGTCTGATAACTCGTCTGTTTTCGAAAGTGTTAACGCATGTCTTTAGAAATTATAAATACATATGATTTACATGATTTAAAGGTTCTTTTATTATGTAAACGCCTTACAAAAGAACCTAGATGTTTACCATTTGGAAAAGCACATGATTTGAATAGTTATTTGTTATGTTATAAGCATTTGTTGATTTATGTTATTTGATTCCTATGAAATTGTCTGTTCAGCCATTATATTTGAAAAGCATTGAAAAATATATGAATATTATTAGTTTTGAAATGATGCATCAGTTTTAGAAAAATATGCAAAAGGATTTGCTAAAACACCTAGTTTTGTATGAAAGTAATTAATATATTATTTTTAGTAACATGATAGTTGTCTGGTCAGTATGGCTATAATCTGGACCCTACCAATAAGGGTTATACATTGGTATTTGTTCAGAAACTAGTTTCTTCTAGGCCCTAACACAGGGAGATATGTGTCACTTATATGAGTTAAACATGGTTCTAGGCATAAAACCTTGTGGGTTAAACATGATTTTGGGCCTTGTCAAGAGGATCTAACGTGACCGTAGCCGTTGATACTACTATGACTTCTGAACTGATTGTACACCTTAGCTATATTAATATTTGTGAACTCTTAGCTATATTTATATGAATGATATTCTTTGCACTACAATGTTTATGCTTTGATATGTGGCATTAGCTATACCTATGCTTACTTTATGAACATACATTTAAATGTATTTTGTTTTGAAAAGTATTATTAAGAAGACATGATTGAAACATATATGAAACCGATGTTTTGTAAACTTTATGAGCATGAAGAAAGTATTTGATGTTTATGTATATTTCGAAAGCACGTGTTAAATGTATAAAGAATTCATTTGTTTAAAAAAAAACTCATTTATGATAAGTTTTGACTAGCATGAGTCATAGTGTTTACTAAGCAGTGGTTTGCTCATAAGATTATCTCTAATTTTTTCAGAGTGCACAGTGAAAGCATGGTGGAATCGGTTATTGGTTGAATTATACTATCATTCTATGGAGATCACTGTACATTGAGATTACTCTGTATATATGTTATTTGGATTGAAATGTTATAAATTCTTAAGTCTTATGGGTGGATTGATTATTGATTGAATTATGTTATTAATGTCTTGTGAGTTTAATCATGAACTGGATTATGTAATAATTATTCTGAGAAAGCTATTTGTTCTGGTTCTGGCCTTGCATTCTTATAGGGAAACCTATAGGATTGTCGCATTATACCATTCTCAGTTTTCCATTGGGTTGGGGGCATTACAAAACTAATGGTTATAGGCCCATTTAGTTTTTCAACCCACTTCCGATGTGGGACTATATATGGTATTATAAAAGTAGTCGTAGCCAATTGTTGGAGCACTATTTTTCTAGTAGACCTTAAGAATGGTCTTGCATTAGCTAAAAATGTTTAAGATCTATACAAAATTTCCATTATCACTTGGTAATAACTTAATTTTAATAATTTAATTTTGTTACAACTTATCTGATCATTCTTTCTTCTTTTTAATTTTTTGAATCTCAAATTTCAGCTTCCTACGTTTTAGAGAATCCAAGCAGCAGTGCTTTATCTCCAAGAGTGCCTGCTCCTGACGTCAACGAGTATGATATCACTATCAAATCTTCCTTCTGGTCAAGTTTTAAGTTATTATACATGGATTAGTAGTTTTAATATTAGTATATATTATATGGTGCATGATATATACATATATGTTTCAGAAAACATTAACATGGTCAGTTTTTCTGCTTTTAGGGGTCAGGAAGTCAAAGAGGCATTGAGGGTACAGATGGAAGTGCAAAGAAGACTTCATGAACAACTTGAGGTGACTAAATCTTTGTCTCTTCAATTTTGTTTTGGTTCTTTAACCTCCTTCAACATGTTCTTTTTGGCATAACCTAACAATTTGTCATCTCCAATCTCCTGTTTGTATGATAACGCTGGGCCCTTTGAACTACATACTTTTTACTAAGCATACTGTTATCTGTAACAAATTTCTCCTGCTTTCTACCTATTATATGTATACATACCTATATGCATGGTTTAGAAAACAGTCCAGACCAGTAGTACCAAATGGTAAATCTGGTCCTACAAAGAATTGGTGGGATGCAGATCAGTCAATTTTGAGCGATTCAGGACTGATTCGCTCGGTACTTACCTAAAAATAGAGAGTAAGCCTTTTTTTAATCTATCATATGTAGGGTTTAGAATGATATAATCTATCGCTCTCCCTTTCTCGGAGAAAGTCCACACTCCCTATCCCCGTTCGCCACTGCAGGTTGCTTGCAGCTGCCGTCTGCTGTTCGTCATTTGGTACTTCTCTCCTCCTCTTCCTCCATGTTATTCTCCTTCTCATCCTTATCTTTCACCCTTCTCCTTGGCAACTGTAAGCAACGTACTGTGTTTCTGCATACTGGTACGTATTGGACTCGTATAGGTCCAGCCAATGATTGGTATGTGTCCAAAATACCAATTTTTAAACCATGCCTATATCTTTGTTGCTTTAGTTATATGCATTATATGTGTGAGAAGATGCAATAGTGTCTGGGCATGTCTATGGTCATCTATCTTTCATAGATAAACTAGCATTTAATTCGGTCTTCAATCTAAATCCATTGCAAGAATTTTTCCATCTGCTGCTCGAACTCAATCTAATCCACCTTGAGCCTCCATCGTGCTTCAACAAACAGTCATAAGCTCCCACTAAAAGTTGTTCTTTGCTGCTCGATCAGGTTCAGAAGCATGTGCAAATCCGAATGGACGCTTATCAGAGGTACGTCGATTCCCTAATCGCAATGGCATACAAGATAGCATCAGATCAAATTGCTTCAAGCAGTTTCGGCATGACCGAGCATGAGCTCACGGAAGGCACCTGAACTAAACACCAGACCATGTTGAAAGATCAAGGGATTCATCCTCTCGTGTAAACCAACCTTGTTTACAAGAGATGTACTGGTTGATGATGTACCATGTTCCATGACTCAAAATTGCATGATTATGTGGTGTTTTGACTGAGGTTTATACCGAACTATACCGGTCATGGCTTAGACCAGTAATATACTGCCCTTATCAGAATACCAAGTGTTGCTTTGTGCTAGTTCTTATTTGATCACGTATAATGTTCTATGACTCAAAATTGCATTATTATGTTGTGTTGATTAGGTATGGAGTTTTAGAGAAAAATCTTAAAATATTGAAAAATAATATTATCAGAAGGACCAAACAGTGTAGATTCTGAGTATTGTCCGATCTCAAGAAATAATCCTATCAGATGTGCCAAAGATCCTAAGCATTGTCCTATCTATCCTGATTCACGTACTGAAATGAAATACTGGGCAGGATCGCAAACCTTAAGAAATTTCATCAATCACAAGGAATAATATAAACTGCATACAATAATCCAATATCGACTAATTTAGGTAATAAAGTTTCTAACATATTATGTTCCAATCCTACTTTCGTCCCTTACTCATTATAAGAAAATAAAAGTAAAAAAAATCATCCAGAAAAAAATAAAGAAAGAAAAAAGGGAAAAGATATCCAATAAGCTGCGATCAATGGTAAATATATATTTCCAGAAGAAAAAAGCCACCTGCAGCCAATAACAAGAACACTTCAACCAAAATAGTTCCAAGTTAAAAGTAGGCCAACAACAGAAACTGTTGAATAAGCCACGGGATTGCATCAACAAGGAAACGAAGATTTCAGATTGAGGTTTTCAGTAGAGCAAACAAACTTAGAAACTTCATGGATCCAATGGATCATGACAAGGAACAAACTTTTGGTTACACTGAGATAAGAATCAAAGGACTTCTAAATCAGAAGGCTACTGCCACAAACACAAACATGTTCCCTATGGTACAAGTGGTGAAAGAGGTCAGGTTGATCGATGTCGTCTGTGGTTGGCTCGCCCCAGGATGCAAAGACGCAACCGCTGACTTAGTGTTTCACCCTTCTCCAGCTTCTCACGCTTTGGTTTCTTGGATACCGCCGTGCCCTTTTTCTTATTCTTCGGCTTAGCAGAGGATTTCCGTTGTATTCGTCTCAGCGGTGTGGCTAGGGCTCTCAGTGTCATCTGAAACAACAGAATAGATGCTCATACAGGTAGAATGGATCTAGTTGGACAAGCAAGTGTTTTATAACTTAGGCCACACTAGAACACGAAATTGCAATTAGACATCGGATTCAAAGCAGAGAATATGAAAAGTTTCAAGGTAAAACTTCTTATCACAGTTGACAGATGACAGATTGCTGTGGGACAAATCTAAGAACACTGGCCATGGGAAAGAGAAAAGGACCTGGTGTTTGCTGGTGGTACTTGCTGTGCACTCTGCAGAGGATGACCCATCACTATTGCCTCCTAAAGACGAGCACCTGCCCCAGCTCTCTCTATTGGAACTCGAATAGGAGCAGCATTCCTCATCTCGTCCAGTTCTTTTCTCCTGTAAAATGTCATCAACAATTATAACAGGAAAATTTACTATGCAATCCATTACTTTACAGAGCAACAAAAATCTCACATGGGCATAACTATTCAAAAAATTGGAGGTAAAAAAAAAAATCCAGGATGCTCCTCGGAGCTAGAAATTGTACGTATACATGTCGAATGAATATCCAAAAGAAGTTCAAAAAATATCCAGGAGATATTCTTTTTATCCAAACCACGAAAAGGAGCAAATACAGAGAAAGAATGGAGCTGGAACCAGAGTAAAAGCGCTTAAGAATATACTTTGCAACAAAAATAGGATGTGGTACATATGTGAAAAAGGAAATGTCCACCTTGTGTCAAGCAAAGGTTAAAAGGGTCGGAAAAGCATATCCTGTATAGAAGCATATCCCAAAGTCAACTGTATACTAGATGTCCTTGAATTAGTGGACCAACTAACAGTTCAATAAGGTGCAAATAATAGAATGCATGACACGAGTGAACAACAGTATCTTAGAAACAGAAGCACAACTCTCTAACCGTTAGCCCTAATGAGTAATACAGGAATACAACTGATGATTTAGCAATAGATGAGCATCAGAAAACAGATGCAGCAATTCAGACTCAGAAGGTCCAAGAACTTTTGATCTTTAAAATACAAAGCTCAAGCCTTCAGATGAAACCATTCAATCCTAACAAAAGTCAATAATCAACTAGTGGTACAGAAACAGAACTAAATGAACTAAACAGGTGTAACATTCAAAACAAAATTCCAGAAGTCAGATAAAACAATCACCAGATGTAAAAAGAAAAATATATTACCTGCATATTGGGTTCTTCGGCACTGTTACCTCCCATGTTGGTAGCCATATTATCTTTATCAACAACGAAATCCTGAGTATATCAAAATAAGTGGTTTAGTTTGTGTCACACAAAGGTTAAAAGGGTAAGGGTAGCATATCCTGTATAGAAGGATCCCAAAATCGACTGTATACTAGATATTCTCTTATTACTGGACCAACTAATAGTTCAATAGGAATTAATAAATGAGAATGAACAACAGTACTGCCGTAATAGAAGCACAAATCTCTAACAGCTACTAGCCACAGGTAAGTTCTGTTGCTAATTGTAGAGAGTAGCAGAGCAATACAGCAGATAATTTAACCACAGACGAGCATCAAAGAACAGATACAATAATAATTCAGACTCGGTGTCCTGTCGTTCTTCCAAGAACTTTTGATCTTCAAAAAACAAAGTTCAAGCTTTCAAATAAGCTGCAAAATAGACAAAACCTTTCAATCCCAACAAAAGTCGATATCAACCAGTGGTACAGGAACAAAACCAAAGAAACTAAATAGGTATCACATGTGAAACAAAATTCCATTAATTAGATAAAACAATCAACAGCTGTAACTAACAAAATGAATTACCTGTAAATTAGATTCATTGACACTGTTACCTCCTATGTTGGTAATCATATTGTCTTCATCAACAAGGAAATCCTACATAAAGTAAAACTAAGAACTTAAGCCCCTACAGCCCTCAACCTCTCTTTTCTTTTCGCAGAAGGAAATATAATTTGGTGCAACAGGCATACCAAGTCATTATCGATGGATATATGAGCTACGCTTTCTGATAACAGTTCACTGACTGATTTTGCAGTTGAACCTATGATTCAGCCAAACAACTAATATAAAGACATAAGTTAACTAGAAAGCAATGCTTATGAGTACTGCTGTTGATCCAACCTGCACCATTTGAATTCCCAGGAGCTGATGAGGAACATGCTGCATCGGTATTAACCGCACGGAGGCTAGTGATGATTTCGTACAGCAAACTCTGAACCCAGACACTTCAACATCAAAATATTGATAAATGATTTGTATTACAGGATCAAAGTAATGAAGTTATATAAAAGTTGAATGTTATTTTTCTGAGCAGTCCTCTTGCAGAATGACTGCATGCCATTGTTTTCTTTTCCCATTTTACCAATATTATCTCCTTCACTAAAATTTTCCTCTTTTTCCTTCGGTAGTTAGTTTAAAATAAAAAGATGCAGGAAATCACCTCATCTGTGCCTGCACCAGCCTTTAGTTCTCCTAGATCATAGTACCTCTGAAAGTTACTCGTGCAACTTGAAGGAATTTGCGGGGGTTGTAAGACATTATAGAAGAAAATAGAAACAGAATCATAATAGAACTGCGGTCTGGGTGAGTTGTGATCACCCTCAAATTTGATAATATTCTTGTCACCCTGCAAAGTAACCCAAAATTTGGATGTAATAATAGTCAGAATGGAATGCTTGCATCCAAAAACTGCAGTTCTATCAGATCGAGAAATTGAGTGAGATGCTCTTAACCCAATTTCAAGGTACATAGAAGATGATCACTTACCGCATATGCCTCGTATATCAGATCCGAGTGATGGGGCTGAATAAATATGTCATCAGAAGCATGTCCAAACAATGATGGAATAAAGGTCTTCGGTGCAAACTGCAGACAAATGTATGAAGTCTAAATTTGAAGTTTCAAGGTGCCAACAAAGCTTTTACTTGCATGAACAAAGCACAAATTTAGACAATAGCAGTGTATCATGGAAGTCCAAGGAGCACTTAGTGAAGTTTTCTAAGGCATTCAACTGCATTAACATTTAACATGATATTGCTTAACATTAAACTCTAAGAAGATCTTTAGTAAGTCCCATTGCTTAGAACTCTAATAAAAGAACCTGAAAAGAATTTGACTCTAAAAAATGTTCAAATCCTATGTACGCTTTACTAAATCGGGTCAGTTCTATTCAATTGACAATAATTCGAGAAATCACAAGAACTGATGGACGGTTAAAGAAAGAAATGTAAAACAAGTAAATTCAACACCTGTACAGCATTTAGATCCATGATATCAAATTTAGCCCTCTTCTGAATAATTCGTCGCATGTACTGAACAGCCATTCTGATCTGTGTCAAATCATTCGATAAAGTAAGTTAAAGCAGGCACCAAAAGACTTCATAAACAGCAGCAGCAGCAACAATAACAACAACAACAATTCCAAGTTACAAACAACAGTAGCTATTTGGAACAGCTACATGGACACTCCTACCACAGAGCAGCTCTAGTGACAGCAATGTTACTATATATTTCAAAAGCCATGTATTCTTTTGTGATTAGCCTTTCTCTACTTTACCTAGAAGCTTTAATCTGAATTGCCTCACAGCGCTCACTTCACTGTACCAGTGAACTTACAGGTCATCTTTAGTTCTTTATACGTCTCCCTAAAGAATCATAGATAAGCACCATTTTCAAAATGTGCAAAATGAATATAATTTCATTTTCAACTAACTTATATGGACGACATATTTGTTAATATTTGTTAATTAAGCTGTTACCATTATAATCAAATTGTCTGTGTTACAGACAGATGGTCCAGCAGCAAGGATGGAATTTTGGTGTCATTACCCAGAAGTCCTCACATTTTAGCAGTAATCCAGATTGATTGTTTGCAGATGCTTCAATTCCAGTTCCTTTCCATAAGTAGTTCAAATTTATCAATTAATGTAACTAGTCTTTTACAGAGCT